CTGCCTGAGGAAGAAATCACTCTATGGGGAGGGTGTTCTCAGATCCTCCAGGTCTTAGATCATGATTATTGCTTTGCTTCCAGGCCTCCCTGGTGCCCAAGCATGAACAACTACACCTCTGTGAAGGAGTTCATCCTGTTGGGAATTCCTCACACTGAAGGGCTGGAGAACATGATCTTTGTCCTGTTTCTGGCCTTCTATCTCTTTGCCTTGCTGGGGAACCTGCTCATCTTTGTCACCATTCTGGCTTCATCCAGCCTGCACACCCCCATGTACTTCTTCCTGGGAAACCTGTCAGTGTTTGACATCTTCTTCCCTTCTGTGAACTCCCCCAAGATGATGGTCTCCCTGGCAGGGCGAAGCCGCACCATCTCTTACCAGGGCTGTGCCTCCCAGGTCTTCTTCTACCACACTCTGGGTGGCACTGAGTGTTTCCTGTACACAGTGATGGCCTACGACCGCTTTGTGGCCATTTGTCACCCCATGCGCTACACTGTCATCATGAACCAGAGGATGTGCACCAGCCTGACAGTGTGCACATGGCTGGGGGGCTGTGTGCATGGGAGCATCCTCACGTTTCTCATCTTTAAGTTGCCCTACTGTGGGCCCAATGAGGTGGACAGCTTTTTCTGTGACATTCCAGTGGTTCTGTCCCTGGCCTGTGCAGACACTTCTCTAGCACAGATGGTGAGTTTCACCAACATAGGTGTGGTTGCCCTGGTGTGTTTTCTTCTTATCCTCCTTTCTTACATCCGCATTGTTCTCTCTATACTGAAAATCCATTCCTCTGAAGGCAGGCGCAGAGCCTTCTCCACCTGCAGTGCCCACCTGACCTCCATCCTCTTGTTCTATGGACCTGTGATTCTTGTCTATCTCAGACCTGCTTCCAGCCCCTGGCTGGATTCTGTTGTCCAGGTGTTAAACAATGTCATCACTCCTTCCCTCAATCCTTTGATTTATTCCTTGAGAAACAAGGATGTGAAAGTGGCTCTGAGGAAGATGGTATCTTGGGTATGAGACACAAGAGCAATGCCTCTCTGATGTTCTTTGGGTGAGTTTTTCAGATCTACTCCTTTTATACCAGGATTATTGCCAAATAACAAACAGGGCACAGTCACTATCTCTCATTTTTTGAGAATTGCAACACTCACGTCATCTGAATTTAGTGGACTTGGGCACACATTTATACCTTCAAAGAAGCTTCTTCCTGTTAACCTAACATTTCCTCTTTTTATAATTTGCCAAAACAACATATCTCTTCTGCTCTGCACTCTGTATTTGATGGAATTCTGCTTTGATTGTTTATCATTAAAATTGCAAGTGTCTAGAGGCCATGGCCTGGTTATTCCTCCATGTCTTTCTTCCTTCCTCTCCAAATTTATGGCTTTTTCTGTTCTTCAACAGTGTCCCTTTGGCTATTCTATAAATCTAGGTTTTAGAGTTGACAAGGTTGAAATTTGTAAGAAAACTACACATTTTAGCAAATATAAGTTTATACTGTCTACTGAGATAAAAACAACCTCATTGAGAACAAAAAAGAATTATGTTTCTATGGATCCTTTAGGATTGCAATCCTTCCAAGAGACACCAAATTGAAGTAGCCTGGAAAACATGTTTCAAAATATTACAGAATGGTGGCTGTTTTTATAGCTTTAAGAGAAAGTCTGTTGGAAGTCATGTGCATTGTTTGTCAAGATTTGTGTTGGATGTGTCAAGCGCACACTGCCTTATAAGAAAAGCATCACGAGGTCTCAGGAAGCATGGGAGCTGTTTCACACACTATCCTCAGTCCAGTTTACCAGGTCAGCATGAACCACGGTGGCTTTGTGCAGAGACAGTTCTATTCAAAGTTTCAGCCATGGTTGTGCCTGGAGCTTGGTTTAACAAGGTGTCCCAACTCCATTTTACGTTCTCCAAGTCAACCTGTTTCACGTTTCTACCATGACAGCACACAGTTTAGAACCTCTCTGGCTTTTACCAAGGTCATCAGAGAATTATGTGCTGAATTTTATTCATTGTGTTTCAAGGGAGAAGCTGGTCACTGATCTATTTGTATAAAATGGGAAAATAGATTTTTAAAATCCATTTGGAAAGACTTTTAGAACCAAAGATTTGTATCCTGGGCAGGCACTCCTTATTTCCTGAAAATCTAACATGTGTCTAGTTAATTAAAGTTAAGTCATTATTGTAGTTTCTAAAATTGCCATGATGCCTTTATGGGCAACTCTATTGTCTTTGTTGAAAGTTCTTGAATCCCCTGCACCATCTATTGTATTATAGTATATTCTGTTATACTGCAACATATCAATTCAAACCTTGCCAACTTAAATCAAAATTATTCATTATCTTAGGCTTGGATGGTCAAGAACACTGAAATTTTCACTACCATTTTCATAATATCTTCTCTTAACATCCCTCTCCAAGATAGTCCCTTTCTTCTCTTAGTTGATTGTTCTATTGCTTAATCATTTCATCAGCATGACATGGAAATTGTGATACCTTTATTATCATTTCAAATTATTCTATGATTCTTAAATTATTATTCAACATTGAAAACACTGACTTTTCTAGAACATAGTTAAGTCTGACATCTATTTAGATTCATCCACTCCAATTCTTAGAACAAGAGGTAATGTGGAAAACCTGCTTATTAGGTATACAACAGTGTTAAAAGTAATTAACACGTATTGATTAAATTAATCAAAGTTTTAAGAGGTATACTCTATGATATATTCGTTTTATAGCTGAAGAGAATAAAAACAGAAAATAATCACATCTGAACCTATAATGAAATATTTATTCTTTCTTCTAGTATCCTGCTTTGTAAAAAGAACTAAAAAATCATAAATTCTATATAATTCTCACATCTAATTTTCTCCATATCATTCATTGTTATATTAATTTGCATATGTAAACTAATGCAATCTGCAGCACATCTCTTTTAGTAGGTATGATTTCTCCCCATAATTATATATGGAAGAATTAAGATACATATGGAAAATTGTCTGATGATACAGAATATATATAGGAAAGCAAAATAGATAACATTCACAGAAATAGGCAATGAGTGAAAAATAATAACTTCAACACTTTGTACTCTCTATATATGTATGTATGTGTATATATATATATATATATATATATATATATATATCCATTCATTCATAAGTCTTTGATTCCTCATTTAACTTAAAATTCTAGTGTTAGAAGGAATCTTGGTAGAATGTTTGCGAAATGACCCATGCAAAGACTAAACTGGCAAAAGCATTTAGAGCGCCATCTATGTGTGATATAAATCAAGCTTGTATATGCAGTTACCTGATTTACTACCATAGTTGATAATATCACCACATTGGCTTTCATAAACAACATCTGTTATCTTATATGAAGGTTCTTGGATCCCCTGCACCATCTATATATGACATTGTATTGGATATTTATTGTAATGCGACAAATTCCTCCAAAACTTGGCAGTGTGGAACAAAATAATTTATTATCTTAGACTATGTCTGATGGTTAATAATACTAGTATAATTTAGTTAGTTATTCTTAGCTGGGACTTAGAGGGTTGCAGTCACTCTGTCAGCCAGGGCAACAGCCATCTAACATAAAGTCTCCTTGCAAGATGCCTCAGTACTGGGCCATAAGCAGGAGGCTTTAGTCCCTCATTGCATAGGGACTGTGGGCTCACTTGGTCCAGCTGAAATGAAGCCCACCGAATAGCTTAGGAGGGTGTGGTGACCGAGTCGAAAAGAGACCTTCGGAGATCAGTTTCAGAGAACTAGATCCACTTTATTATTGCGTGGGCAAACCTTTTATGCATAGCCTGTTACTGGGCAAATTATCTGAGGGCCATAATAATCCAATGAGCTAACAATACCCTTAGGAGTAGCAACTAATGGGCTAATAGGTCAGCAACAAAAAGCAAAAGGGAAGGAACATGCTGTGCACCTGAGGGAGGCCAGGTTATCATGATGATGGGGCTGAGTGTGGTTAGTGTTCCAAACACAATATCCAGATTCAGTGTGCTGAACCCTGAGGGCCCCTCACATAGTCAACACAGGCTGCTTTCCAACTCACGGGCCCAACAAGGGGCCTCTACATATAACCACTTACATCTTCTCACACCATGGCAGCTGATTACCTCATAGTAAGTGATATAAGGAAGGGTCTCAACAGAAGCTTGCAGAACATTTTATGACCTATTCTCCATAATCACATGCAGTCATTTCAGCTTTTATTTTCTCTTCATTAGAAGGAGTCAATAAATCCAGCCCATACTCAGTGGTAGAGAAATTAGGCTCCATCATTTGAATTGAGTGTCATTAAATTATCAAGACATTTCTAACCATACCGATTGTCACATTATTTAATCATATTTTTATTGGAATACTATATGTTACAAATTATTTTATTTGCTAAAGATACATCCTGCACTACTCATTACTTTACCACCTGGCTTTCCTTAGAGTGTTCACTATATTACTCTGCCTTTGTGAGAACTATGTATATTTGAGACTTTCACCTGATTGTCTACCAGATGTTATTATCACCACATTTTCTTTTATGGGGAACATTGTTTTCCTTTTTGTAAGTTCTTGGATTTTCTGTGCCATATATGTATGGTATAGTATTATATATCTATTGTAATGTGTGGTGAGCCGCTTCTGCCATTTCTGCAGATTATGGTCGCCATTACAAGATGACGCTGGCTCCGCTGTGGTCTGTGACAAACAACTCCTTATCTGGGAGAGTTGGCACATGATTTTTCACCACCCTGTGAGAAAGCTCCACGCGGCAGCTTTGCATTGGGGCTTGGGATGCTTTATTAAGGCTGGGAGGGGCATCCGAGAGGGAGAAGAAGAAATATCCAGGGACCTGAATAAACTGTTGAAAGAAGATTCTCGAGTTGCGTCTTCCTTGCGGGCAAGGGGTCGCGACAAGTGGTGCCGAGACCCGGGAACCAGAACTTTCAGCAGTCAGGGGTGGTGCACCGGTTAGTCCCAGGTAAGTGGGATCCGCGATCAAAGCGGGGTTAGTCCCTAGTAAGTGGGATCCGCGACCAAAGCGGGACAGCTCCTCTGTAATGAAAGAGAGAGCCTTACATTTTATTGCAGCTGCACTGTGTACTTTCGCTTCTACTTTCGCTTTCTTTTTTTTGTGCTTCCTTTGTTGTTGTGTCATGGGTGCCGCATCTTCAAGTCCGCTTCTCCTGGCCCTAGATGGCCTGTTACGTTCCAAGGGACTGGAAGTGAAACACAGTACTTTACAGAGATTTTTACAGAAGATAGATATCGCTGCACCGTGGTTTGCATTTTCGGGCAGCCTTACTGTGCCTAGTTGGGATAAATTAGGCAAAGATCTTGACTTTGCTTCTGAGCAGGGCATATTAGAGGGTGGGGTGATCCCCCTTTGGAAAATGGTCCGTGGTTGCCTTACAGATGGTAAATGCCAGGAAGCTGTGAGTGAGGGTCAAGCTATTCTTGAGCAATTGCATGAGGAAAAATCTGAAGGATCATGTAGTGAAGTGGCAGAGAGTATTAAAAGTAACAGTAGTGAGAAGGCAAAAGAGCCTGAAGATAAAAATAGGAGAAGGCTCTACCCAGACTTGACCGAATTAAAAACGCCTGAGAACACAAGCGACTCAGAGAGTTCTGAGGACCTTGATATATTGTTACAACAACTACATAAGATAAAAATGAAAAAGAAGAAAAAGGAGACACAGGGCACGCAGGCCTACTGTAAGAAGGGGAAGGGAGTTAACATCGGTCAACAAAACTCTGAGGAGGAGGAGGTAGAATATCTAGAAGAAGATATGGTGCCGATTGCCCCACCTCCGTATGTGGGGGGGAGCCAAGGTTCCGGGAGATCTTTTCATGCACAAGTTTGGAGGACAGTTAATACAGATATGGGACTTGCATACCCTGTATTTCAGGACAATAACAGGGGAAGATATCATGAGCCTTTAGACTTTAAGATAATTAAAACCTTGGCAGAATCTGTCCGCACTTATGGCATAGATGCCGCTTTCACTCTCACTCAGGTGGAGGGACTTACTAGATTTTGCATGACTCCCTCAGATTGGGCTAGTCTAGTCTGCGCTTGTGTTTCCCCAGGGAAATATTAGGAGTCCAAAGTTGGCTGTTTAATGTTTCTGGAAGTACCCAAGACTCGGAGCGAGGTAGGAGGCTTAAAATTTCTGCAAATAATTCACAATTATCTAATGCTACATTACCCTCCGCAGCAGTCTGTCTCCAATCTCTGTTCCTGTTTCTTTTGGCTAATGTTACATTATAGGGGATGCTTAATTGTTCTAATATTACCTGTTATTTGTCTGAGTGTTGGAATGGATCCTGGCCTATGGCAGTGATTATAAAAATTCCAACCTTTGTCCCGATCCCGGTTACTGCAGATCCAGAGTCTTTTCCTATTGTTGAACTGATTAGAGCCCGTAGAGATTTTGGAATTACGGCAGCTATAGTGACAGCTGTGGCGGTGTCTGCTGCTGCAGCAGTTACAGTTGGAGTAGCCATGGCCAGCCAGGTTCAAACTGCTGCCACTATTAATCAGGTTATTCAACAAACATCCACCATACTTGAATCTCAAAGTAGAATTAATCAACACATTCTATCTGGGATTTTGGCTGCTAATCAAAGGATAGATCTGCTTCAAGCTCAAGTTGAGGAATTGTCTGACCTAGTACATTTGGGTTGTATTGATCAACGTGCACATTTATGTATAACCTCTGTCAGATTTAATGATTCCAGAAATGCCTCCCGCATCATCGGAGAGTATCCATCCGGAACCTGGTCCATGGAAGCAGAAAACATGATCCAGTCTCAACTAACCCAGATAGCTGTCTTGAACAGTACCCGTGTTGATCCCGTGACTTTGGGTCAATTCACCGATTGGATATCTTCTGCTTTTTCCTTCTTCAAAGAGTGGGTGGGGGTAGGCATTTTTGGTGCAATGTGTTGCTTCAGTGTTGTACTCTGTTTGTGGCTTCTCTGTCGCCTTAAAACTCGCCATGCACAAGAAAAGGCTATGATCATACAAGCTCTTGCAGCTTTAGAAAATGGCAACTCGCCTCAAGTCTGGCTTGCGCATCTTAAGCAGTAAACCTTTGTCATGGTCGTTACACCCCAAGTTATTATAACATTGCACTGGGATCGACATGACTTTCCTTGTTATTCTCTTAGTGTTGGAAAGCCCTTGCACTCTGCCGGTCTTACTGCCATTGCACGCAGATGGGTTTCCACACTAGTGCTTTTCTATCGCCTTGAAGTTCGTGCCTTTCTTTCAGGGTGCTGTCAACTTGTTTGTCCTTATAAACAGTCGCAGTTCAGCCTCAGCTACCCCCCTTCGTCCACCATCGTCACGATACAGGATGCGAGGCAAGGCACTGCACTTGAGTGATCCTTGATGTGGACCTCAAGGAGAGCATGTCCTATTGCATGCGGGTTCGACGCGTCCACGCCCCGCCCCACGAAAAAAGGCGTTGGCTGATATGGCCTCAGATCTGGGGAAGGGCCCTCCTTAGGACTGAGCCATACTATGCAGCCACTTCTGCACAGTGGGATAGGACCTCTACTCTCGCCTGTATTGTTTTAAGAAAACAGAAAAGGGGGAACTGTGGTGAGCCGCTTCTGCCATTTCTGCAGATTATGGTCGCCATTACAAGATGACGCTGGCTCCGCTGTGGTCTGTGACAAACAACTCCTTATCTGGGAGAGTTGGCACATGATTTTTCACCACCCTGTGAGAAAGCTCCACGCGGCAGCTTTGCATTGGGGCTTGGGATGCTTTATTAAGGCTGGGAGGGGCATCCGAGAGGGAGAAGAAGAAATATCCAGGGACCTGAATAAACTGTTGAAAGAAGATTCTCGAGTTGCGTCTTCCTTGCGGGCAAGGGGTCGCGACAGTAATGCAACAAAGTCCTCTAAAACTTGGTACCTTAGAAGAAAATTATTCATTGTCTTACTCTGTCTCTGGTGGTCAAGAATACTGAATTGGTCTCTGCCATTTCTATTGCAAATTCTCTAAACATTCTGTTCCAGGACAATCCCTGTCTTCTCTTAGTTGATAGATTTTATGGCTTAAATTACTTCATCATCATGAAACAGAGACTGTGATGCTTCTATCATAATTTTGGATTGTTTGATGATTCATAAATCATTATTCAACATTTTAGACACTGTCCTAGAACACAGTTAAGTCAGAAAGGCTTAGCCATTAGAATAATATCAGATATTTACTGACAGGCACAGTACTATCCAAATAGGACATAGTAGTGAATAAGTTAGACGTGGTCTTTATACTTAGTGGATAAAACATATTTGATGATTTAGGCAAGTAATAAATTTTCTTTTTCTTTTTTAAAAGTTTTATTTTATTTTATTTTTTTATTTTTTTTACCATACAATTTATTTTTATTTTTTTTAGTCATACATTACAGCAGAATGTATTTTGACATATAATACATACATGGGATGTACATACATCAATCATATTGTCTATTCTATTCTGCTGCCCTTCCTATCCTCCCTACTCCTGCTCTTCTCTCCCATCATTTCTCTCTATCCAATCTAATGTGACACATTTTTTTTTCTTTTTCTCATTACAACATCATATATGTATTCTGTATAACTATGAGGGTCTCCTTCCATCTTCCGTGCAACTCCCCTTCTCCCTCTTTTTCCCTCCCACCTCTCTTCCCTATTTAGTGGTAGTCTTCTTCTCATGCTCTTCCTCCCTATCCCATTTTGAGTCATCCCCCTTATATCAGAGAAGACATTCTGCATTTGTTTTTTAGAGATTTGCTAACTTCACTTAGCATAATCTGCTCTAATGCCATCCATTTGCCTGCAAATGCCATGATCTTGTTATTTTTTAGTGCTGAGTAATACTCCATTGTGTATAAATGCCACATTTTTAAATCCATTCATCTATTGAAGGGCATCTAGGTTGGTTCCACATTCTAGCTATTGTGAATTGTGCTGCTATAAACATTGATGTGGCTGTGTCCCTGTAGTATGCTCTTTTTAGGTCTTTTGGGTATAGTCCGAGAAGGGGAATAGCTGGGTCAAATGGTGGTTCAATTCCCAGCTTTCCAAGGAATCTCCATACTACTTTCCAAATTTGCTGCACCAATACACAGTCCTACCAGCAAAGTATGAGTGTACATTTTCCCCCGCATCCTTGCCAGCACTTATTGTTGTTTGACTTCATAATGGCTGCCATTCTTATTGAAGTGAGATGGTTTCTTAGAGTAGTTTTCATTTGCATTTCTCTGATTGCTAGAGATGGTGAGCATTTTTTTGTGTATTTGTTGATTGATTGTATATCCTCTTCTGAGAAGTTTCTGTTCAAGTCCTTGACCCATTTGTTGATTGGGTTATTTGCTTTTTTGTTGTTTAACTTTTTGAGTTCTTTGTATACTCTAGAGATTAGAGCTCTATCTGATGTTTGAGGGGTAAAAATTTGTTCCCAGGATGTAGGCTCCCTATTCACCTCACATATTATTTCTCTTGCTGAGAAAAAACTAAAAAAAGTTTGATTCTTGGTTTTAACTCTTGTGCTATAGGTGTCTTATTAAGAAATTTGGGGCCTGCCCACACGTGATGAAAATTAGGGCCAACTTTATCTTCTGTTAGACGCAGAGTCTCTGGTCTGATTCCTAGCTCCTTGATCCATTTTGAGTTGACTTTTGTGCATGGTGAGAGAAAGGGATTCAATTTCATTTTGTTGCATATGGATTTCCAGTTCTCCCAGCACCATTTGTTGAAGATGCTATCCTTTCTCCATTGCATGCTTTTAGCGCCTTTATCAAATATAAGAAAGTTGTAATTTTGTGGATTTGTCTCTGTGTCCTTTATTCTGTACCTTGGTCTACCAGCCTGTTTTGGTGCCAGTACAATGCTGTTTTTGTTACTATTGCTCTATAGTATAGTTTAAAATCTGGAATTGCGATACCACCAATTTCACTCTTCCTGCTTAGAATTACTTTAGCTATTCTGGGTCTCTTGTTTTTCTAGATGAATTTCATGATTGCTTTTTCTATTTCTGCAAGGAATGTCATTGGGATTTTGATGGGAATTGCATTGTAAAGTGCTTTTGGTAGTATGGCCATCTTAATAATATTAATTCTACCAATCCATGAGCAAGGTAAATCCTTCCATCTTCTAAGGTCTTCTTCTATTTCTTTCTCCAGGGTTCTGTAGTTTTCATTGTATATCTCTTTCACCTCTTTTGTTAAGTTGATTCCCAGGTTTTTTTTTTTTTTGAGGATATTATAAATGGAGTAGTTGTCCTCATTTCAATTTCAGAGAATTTGTCACTGATATACAGGAATGCCATTGATTTATTGCTATTGATTTTATATCCTGCCATTTTGCTGAATTCATTTACTAGTTCTAGAAGTTTCTTGGTTGAATTTTTTGGGTCTGCTAGGTATAGGATCATGTCATCGACAAATAGTGCTAATTTAAGTTCTTCTTTTCCTATATTTATGCCTTTAATTTCTTTCGTCTGTCTAATTGCTCTGGCTAGTGTTTCAAGAACTATGTTGAATAGAAGTGGTGAGAGAGGGCATCCCTGTCTTGTTCCATATTTTAAAGGGAATGCCTTCAATTTTTCTCCATTTAGAATGATGCTGCCTTGAGGCTTAGCGTATATAGCTTTTACAAAGTTGAGGTAATTTACTGTTATCCCTAATTTTTCTAGAGTTTTGAACATAAAGGGATGCTGTATTTTGTTGAATGCTTTTTCAGCATCTATCGAGATGATCATATGGTTCTTATCTTTAAGTCTATTGATGTGGTGAATTACATTTATTGATTTCTGTATATTGAAACAGCCTTGCATCCCAGGGATGAATCCCACTTGGTCATGGTGCACGATCTTTTTAGTATGTTTTTGTATCCGATTTGCCAGAATTTTATTGAGGATTTTTGCATCTAAATTCATTAGGGATATTGGTCTGAAGTTTTCTTTCTTTGAAGTGTCTTTATCTGGTTTTGAAATCAGGGTGATGTTGGCCTCATAGAATGAATTTGGAAATACTCCCTCTTTTTCTATCTCCTGAAATAGATTGTAGAGTATTGGTATTAGTTCTTCTTTAAAGTTCTTGTAAAACTCTGCTGTATATCCGTCTGGTCCTGGGCTTTTCTTGGTTGGTAGTTTTTTGATGGCTTCTTCTATTTCCTCACTTGATATTGGTCTGTTTAGGTTGTGTATATCATCCTGACTCAATCTGGGTAGCTCATATGCCTTAAGGAATTTATCGAAGGCAAGTAATAAGTTTTCCACATGCGATGGGGATAAAGACTTGGAAGAAAAATAGAAGAGGGGGATGGGAAAATGTAGGTTGAGATAAAAGCAACAATGCCACGCATGGAAGGGACCTACAAATCTGGTCAAAAGAGGAAACCCAAAGTGCTCATCTGGAGACAAAGTATGTTGCAAATATTATTCCATTTTTGCCTCTGTAATGTCAAAAAGGGCTAAGTTAAAACACTTTTATTCCTCCCATTGTCACTATGAAATTAATTGAAATGAAAAATTTGAAATGAATTTAAGTGACACTGTAAAAAATGAATTCTGATGACTGTCTTTCTAAGTAATTTAAAATACTTCATTATAGCCCAGGGACCAATTTCTTATTTCCTAGGAAAGGACAGATTTCTATTGCCAGAAATTTCACTGTAATGAATTCATTATTTTAAAAAAAGTAAAATTGAACATAATTTTAATGCATGACCTACTTTTCCAACTAGTCTGCAACATTTTGATGTCAAAGGTATGAAGAAAATATCTTCCTTGCTTTAAGA